GGTTGAAGAAGTCAGTTGAATGGCCATCATGATCACCCAGTCCTCACCCCCAATGGACTTCATTTGGGGTGTTATCAAAGAAAGTATTTTCACAAAAACTATGCATTATAATTTGATTAATAAGAAAAGCATGTCAAGAAATTGACAATAATAAACTCTGGAAAGAGTGCTTGAATTTTTTAAACCTCTTTTTGCCCTATTGGTGCTGAGAGCTTTTTCTTTCTAGCAAGCCCATTTAACCAGATCTACAATAGGGAGGTTGGACGTGAGGGACAGGGCCAAGCATATCTTGATGATCACCCTCAAAAATTCCTGGGGTTTTTCAACCAATCTGAATTCAAATTTGGAGCTCACGAGCAGTAGGCTGCCACTTTAACAATTCAGTCATCCAACCATCTAGTGTACTTGAGTTAAAAACTAAATTACAGGAATGTGTAAACACTGAAGACCAGCAATTTCAGCACTTAAATAGATTGTGCTTAAATGCAATTTCTATGTCATCCATATAGTGACTTAATAAAGCTATCTAGTAATCAAATCTTTGTAATCATCTGCATATTTTTCCATAATAAAAACTACAGAACTACTTTTTCACCCCTCAAATATCTTAGTGTAAAAATGCTTTACTTTAACAGATACAAACTGTAACCAAATTACCATCAATATATAATAAAAATTTTATATTTTGTACAAAACCTTATATATCATTCAACTTTGTATATACTACTATACTTATAAAAATGATAAGTAATACTTTAGTTATGAAACACATTTAGTTGGAAAAAAAAACCAATATTTTGGGCACTAACTATCAAATGCTCCATATTTATGCTTATAGTTGCAACATTTTCCATTAAAGAACAGTGAAGTAATGGTCCAAAGTAAATGTGCATTTTGAACTTAGTAAAAGAAGCCTAAGCATCTCAAATATTTATGCTTATAGTTGCAACATTTTCCATTAAAGAACAGTGAAGTAATGGTCCAAAGTAAATGTGCATTTTGAACTTAGTAAAAGAAGCCTAAGCATCTCAAATGAGTTCTTTACTACAAAATGCAAGAATTATGAATGAGGAAAACTATTTATTTCTTATTAATATGTGAGTAAATAATTGTGTAACTTTTAATTTCACTGAACTTAACTTCATAAAATAAGATAACAATCATAATAATTACAACAGATGCAGAGGAAAAAAAGTCTAATTTTTAATATTTGATATTTAATTTTTAATTNTTGTGTTAAGGTTGAGGAAATTTTGCAAATAGAAAGCATAAAAAGCATAATTAACTCATAAATCGTCAGAATACATTTGTATTTATTAATTTTAAACCTACTTATTACTTTTTTAAATTTTTGCTCGTTATGGCATGTCACAAATGGTCAATCAATGTGTGGCTTATTTGTGGCAAGACTGAAAATTCTTTACTTGTCAGAACCTGTAATATCTGGAATAATTGTGCTTACGCTGTCTTAATTTTTAACATGCCCGGTAGCTTCAATAACTGCGCAACGCCAGGTTGTGCAAATTGGGCAAGGATACAAACGAGTACGAGTACGAAGTCTGCAAGTATGAAATTTTTCTTCATAAACCTTATTATTAAAGACAAACGAACTGGCGAATTATTCGGCTATAAGTTTGATGCCGCCATTAAAGCAGCCGAGGTAGACAAATCAAGAATACTAGAGCAAAAGTACTACTACAGTCTCAAAAACGAACTAGAAATCTTTCAGGCTACAGGCGAAAAAACACATTTAAGAGACGACAGAATTCCACTCACATCAACTGAATCGGAAAGGGCATTCTCGGTAGCAGGTCTTTTCATTACTAAACTAAGAATCAGATTGAGTGATCAGAGTATTGACAATCTTTGCTTTTTTAAATCTTATTATAAAAATTTACAATATTATTTTGTATTATGTTTTATTTAAAAAATAAAAATTTCCTTCTAAGTTAGGAATTTGATCTAAGTTCATTTTTTTCTTTAAATTTTCAACTCAATTCAAAGACATTTTTGTTGTAAGCAATTTTCAACAANCTAAGAATCAGATTGAGTGATCAGAGTATTGACAATCTTTGCTTTTTTAAATCTTATTATAAAAATTTACAATATTATTTTGTATTATGTTTTATTTAAAAAATAAAATTATCTTTTAAGTTAGAAGTTTGATCTAAGTTCTTTTTCTTTTTTAAATTTTCAACTCAATTCAAAATATTTGTTGTTGTAGTATGCAATTTCCAGCAAACTTTAATAAATTTTTTCTATTTGTGAAAATTTCTACGTAATTCAAAGGTAATTTTTAATATATATCTTACACAGCATTATTAATATGATTTTGGAGGTTGCAGAACGTATTAAATTACTTTAAAAAACGAAAAATAATTATACCATATGATTTCAAGATATTTTGTATATCTTAAAAATAATTAATTCTATCGTGGGAAACAGTTCACTTTTATCCCAGAATCCCAGAACAAGCAAAAGACCGGGAAATGAGAAACCCTAGTGTGTTTCCTATGACCATGACTGTCTAATATAATATTCGTTAAATGATGAAGAAATTACTGAAACTACTTCCAATACTATTCGACTTCCAAGAAACAGATAATGATGATAATAGTGAAATAAATGAAGATGGCAATAATGCTCCAATATCTGCAGGTCTAGCCAACTTAAAAATGTTGAAACTTTTTTCCCCATGCAAGAGGAGCCAACTTTTCAGACATGTTGATTCATAATCAAGAACACAATTTCATCAGGTCAACAACAGAAAAATTTGTTTCTTCCAGTGTAAATATTTTCTTTTTAGTCTAATTTTTTTTGTTTGATATAGTCTTATCATTAAAATATGTTTTTGGACCAGTGTCTAAAATATCTGTTTTGCACTCTTTTATACAGTAATGCATCAGAAATTAATTTTTAAAATTTCATTTATAAAATTTAAAACAAAACAGTAACTACTTTTTTGTGTGTGTGTTGGTATAAAAATATTAAATTTTATCACTGAATTTTGTTGGCCCAAACAGATGGCAAAATCAAGAAATGAGTGTATTTCAATGTAAATTTTAAAATTTCTAACCAACATCTGTAGAAGTTCAGTCAGGTCAAAGATTTAAATTTTGTTTTAGGAGTGACTATTAATGTTTAACAGATTTAAATGAAGCTTATTGTTTGGAAGAACAAATCTTAAAATTTTGAACTAGAAGTAACATTTATGAATGAATTTTTTTGATTGAAACTACCAAATAATCCATACTAGTTAAATAAATTGTTAAATTATTTTCAGGAAAAAGTAATAAATGTTCTTATACTATTTCATATCAATTTTAATACTTATGATAAAGTTTTGTAACTATTTTTTCTTTGTGTAAATATAAAGTGAAGTGTATGTCCTAATGCTTATTATGTAGATAATAAGCTACCAAGTAAATAGAGCACCATTACATATTTGAAACAAACCAACAATAATGCTTAAGATAAAACCAAATTATTAACATTTGAAATAGAGTTCTTTATTATTTATCATTCATTATTTTTGATAGGTTGAAGAAGTCAGTTGAATGGCCATCATGATCACCCAGTCCTCACCCCCAATGGACTTCATTTGGGGTGTTATCAAAGAAAGTATTTTCACAAAAACTATGCATTATAATTTGATTAATAAGAAAAGCATGTCAAGAAATTGACAATAATAAACTCTGGAAAGAGTGCTTGAATTTTTTAAACCTCTTTTTGCCCTATTGGTGCTGAGAGCTTTTTCTTTCTAGCAAGCCCATTTAACCAGATCTACAATAGGGAGGTTGGACGTGAGGGACAGGGCCAAGCATATCTTGATGATCACCCTCAAAAATTCCTGGGGTTTTTCAACCAATCTGAATTCAAATTTGGAGCTCACGAGCAGTAGGCTGCCACTTTAACAATTCAGTCATCCAACCATCTAGTGTACTTGAGTTAAAAACTAAATTACAGGAATGTGTAAACACTGAAGACCAGCAATTTCAGCACTTAAATAGATTGTGCTTAAATGCAATTTCTATGTCATCCATATAGTGACTTAATAAAGCTATCTAGTAATCAAATCTTTGTAATCATCTGCATATTTTTCCATAATAAAAACTACAGAACTACTTTTTCACCCCTCAAATATCTTAGTGTAAAAATGCTTTACTTTAACAGATACAAACTGTAACCAAATTACCATCAATATATAATAAAAATTTTATATTTTGTACAAAACCTTATATATCATTCAACTTTGTATATACTACTATACTTATAAAAATGATAAGTAATACTTTAGTTATGAAACACATTTAGTTGGAAAAAAAAACCAATATTTTGGGCACTAACTATCAAATGCTCCATATTTATGCTTATAGTTGCAACATTTTCCATTAAAGAACAGTGAAGTAATGGTCCAAAGTAAATGTGCATTTTGAACTTAGTAAAAGAAGCCTAAGCATCTCAAATATTTATGCTTATAGTTGCAACATTTTCCATTAAAGAACAGTGAAGTAATGGTCCAAAGTAAATGTGCATTTTGAACTTAGTAAAAGAAGCCTAAGCATCTCAAATGAGTTCTTTACTACAAAATGCAAGAATTATGAATGAGGAAAACTATTTATTTCTTATTAATATGTGAGTAAATAATTGTGTAACTTTTAATTTCACTGAACTTAACTTCATAAAATAAGATAACAATCATAATAATTACAACAGATGCAGAGGAAAAAAAGTCTAATTTTTAATATTTGATATTTAATTTTTAATTAAATATCAAAGTTTTTATTGGCTAAAATAACAAATAGCAAACAGTAAATTTTTAAATACTACTCAAAATGGAAAGGATATTTTCATAACAGCAATGTAAAAATGTTTTTTTAAAAATTATCTAGCATTTATTATTTCCACACAAACAGTTTTTACACACTCAACTAAATAAAGCATAGTAAAAAAATCCAATTATTATATATTGTTAAATCTACCTAAAAGAATTTGCTTACCTTTGAACTTCAATTGACCCAAGTGTTTCATATGCAAACTGGCATTTTGAATCTAATTCTATAGCTTTATTTAATAAAGAAATTGCCTCATTTATATCTTGTTTCCACTGAAGTACTAAAATTCTAAATATAAAAACAATATATTAGAAACAAACTAACATATTAAATAAGATTAATACTTAACTAAAATAAAAACTTATATATTTTGTATTTATTTTTTTTTTTAATTTACCCATGAAAATTGATGTTAAATTTGGATATAAATGATTATTAATATAAGTTTATTATTTTGATATATGATGTCAAATAGATAAAATGATAGTATTTATAAACTAAAAGAATAAATAATAAATATGTTATAGGTTAACTTATAGAAAAAACATTAATAATGTAAAAGCTATAAGGAATCAATGTCTGATCGTTATTTTATGTTTTTGGGTGTTATTTTTAGTTAATTATTTTCTTTTCAGGGGTCTTTTTATTTACGAACAAACTCCTAAGCACTTGTGAAAAATTCAAAAACCAAAGATACAACTTTGTATCTGTGACTGTCCCATAGCACAAACCAATGTAAATTAGGGCAGTGTAGAGCTGCATTGAGCTTCGAATAAAAGATAGATCATCCACTATCGCAGGTGGTGTAAATCCTACTGACAACTGTTGGTGACACATCAAGGAAAAGTGATTGAGCATAAGCAATGTATACCGTGGTTGAGTATTTCTTTTGGGGTGGAGATTGGATCTTAGATTGTACTATTATAAGAAATAAGACTTTCATGTGCCTAATTGTTTATTTCTTGGTTTTTTTTTTACTTGACTATTTGACATTTTTGAAAATTATATTAACTGGTTATGATTTAATCATTTGTTGTTATTGTTCAATCTAATAAATGGAAACAATTAATGGACAGCCTCTTACAAGTAAATTGAAAAGTCTCGGACAGTTGATATCTACCCCAAAATTAACAAATATATGAAAACAAAGAAAACAATTACATAAGATTAAAAATACATTACATTATACATTAAATACAATATAAACTAAAACAAACAAGTATAAAATTTCTTTGAAAGAATTTGTTTTCAAAAAACTGCTTTTCTTGGATGCACTCTGTTAACTGCTTCTGACAAAATAATTAACAATACTACAATATGTTGTTCCAAAACATTTCCTTTTTCTAACTTGGAAATAACTCATAACTCATAGTTTATACCACATACATCTTAACTATATTTAATATTTATGTATATTCTACCAATATTTACAAAAAATAATTAAATAAATAAAAAAAAATATCCATCAAATCATATGCTTGCTAAATGTGCAAAAATTTTTAAGTTCCTGTCACCCAGTTAACTGTCACTCAGAATCATCACAATGGATTACAACCCAGTGTGAATTCCCCAGTTGTCATGTACCCAATTAAATCAGTATTAAATCAATAATCAGAAACCATTTAAATTTTAATACAAATTTTGTAGTGACAATTCACAAAATAGAATATAAAATAAAAATTTTAAAGAAATGCTTTTTATTCATATAAATGCACTAAAAGATATCAATTTTTTTCAGCTTTCACAGTATTCTTGGTATTATGTGACCAAAAGTAAAAGTGCAGGGCATTCATGGTAAGCCCATAAAAATTGGAAGAAAGTGTAACAAAACCTTATTCTAAGGACTTTTCCTACTGCACAGATATCAGTTTTGATTTGGCCAAGCCAAGAAATCCTAACCATTAATAAGCTGATCTAAAAGACAAACAGAAAATAAAGACAATAATACAAATCTTATACCTGCATAATTATTTATTTATTAATAAATAATATTTATCTTAATCATTAGACATGTGCAGATTATATGCCTGCATGTTATAAAATTTCTTCTATGATAAGTTTATTGGGGTTGTGGATTATAGTTTTAATAGATAATATTGATGCTGTGGCTGTATAAAATATCTATTGTATATATTCTATACAAATGGTAAATCCTACCAACATTTCTCCTGTAGCTTTCTTTTTCAGTGGAATAATATATACATTGTGTAATTTAGATAAATATTTTAACCAAAAGAAAGAAATACTTTAAAAAACCCACAATTGAACAATTAATTACTGAACAATTATGGGATTATCAAAATTCAAGATTCCCATTACACATCTTGTGTCCAGTTGCACATTATAATGTGTGCTGAGTGTAAGAATATTCCTAAACATGAGCACCCTATGTTTTTACTTTTTGGTCACATAATATCAAGAATATTGTAAATGAAAAAATATGTATTTATTTTTTATCTTTTAGTGCATTATGTGAATAAAAGTGTTTCTTTAAAATTTTTAAAAATATTTATTTAATTTATACTTTTTAGTTTTATATATGTAACATAAAATTATTGAAAGTTTTCTTGAAAGCAAAAACTTGCTGTATAACTTAGAGCAGTGTTTCTCAACCTCTAACGAATTGTCGCCCCCCTTCAACATAGTTTCGCCCCCTCAATAAAACCATTACGTAGTATCGCCCCCTCAATAAAACCATTATGTAGTATCGCTCCCTTCACTTCAAAATTCCGATGCCGAGGGCCAAGGCTAACGCCAAATTTGTATTGCATTGAATAGAGTAGTGACTAGTATAATGTTATTGGTTTAATTATGGTACAATATAAAGAATAAAATATTCTAATTATTCTTAATATAATGTTTTATTATATTGCCCAGAAAATTGTTTTTTGCCCCCAAAATATAAATTGTTACTAATCGCCCCCTCAACATGGAAAAACGCCCACATGGGGGCGATATCACCCCCGCTGAGAAGCACTGACTTAGAGGGTGCTCACAGTTTATTAAGCTACAAGTGGCACCATCTGTCATCAGATTTTATTTACAAATTTAAATTTTTTGCTAAGTTTTTACTAATTGCTAAACTTAGCAAATTAGGAATGTATACATGTGCAAAGTTTCAACTAGATTTGAAATTGGAAGGTGGATACAAATTGAGTTTCAAGACAGTTATCTAGACCAGTGTTCTTTTTCTACTCGCACCTGTGACTCGACATGGCACACCAAAATGTTATTCCCCTCAAAAACATATATATGATATGATACTATTAGTAGAATTTTGTAATGACACAAATCTATTATTATTATTATGTTGAGTTTCATGAGTTACACTTGGTTGACACCATTGGCTATGTACTACGCCGGACACAGCATAGTAACCAAAACAAGACAAAAATTAAATAAGTGTGTCAGTGTCTATATGTATTCAGGAATTTCCTAACAATACGAAATGTATTCAACGTAGTGGCCTTCTGTAGTGTGATGTATGTGTTTCTATTCAATTTTGATGTTCCCAGGCTTATGTGTAGCGTGTGTGGTATGACACCTGTAGAGGAGAGAACGACAGGTACTGTACAATAAACACCCTATCCATCCTCCATAGATGCCTTATTTCCTGGGCGAATTCTGTGTACTTGCTGATTTTTTCACTGCATGTGTTTTGAACATTGTGTTTGGAACAGATGTGTCTATAATTTATGTGATTTTATTGTGTTTGTCAACAAGTGTGATGTCTAGTCTGTTGTGTTATCTGTGATTGTGGCTGCCATAACACATTTTGTGCATGTTATTTTCCAATACTGTCTGTTGAACGTATTTGTAGTATGGTTCGTGGATGTTTAATAATTTTTTGTTTCTTTGCAAGCTCTTGATGTATTTGTTACTTCATTATGTCTATGTAAATTATCTGTCTGTGCCAAGAGCTTGCAACCAGAAGTGATGTGTTGTATGGTTTCTGGCACGATGTGACATTTTCTGCATGTGTCATTTGTGAGTGTTGTATCTTTGAGTATGTTTTCTGTAGTTTTTAGTATTTATGACCTGATCCTGTATGGCAATCATGAATCCTTCCGTCTCTCCAAAGAGGCATCCCCGAGCTAACCAGCTATTTGACGTAGTTTTGTTAACAAAATCCTAGGCCAGGTCGTAAGGATGCCTGCCATGGAGTGCCTTTTTGAGCCCACGATTGTTTCTCCTTCTTCCTTCTTTTTCTTCTTATTTCGGTTGATATGGAGATGCTAGCCGTGTAGACTTTTCTCACAATTGCTTAATGGTGTCTATGCTATTTACGTGTTGTGTCGTGTCGTGTCCATATGTTATGAATGTAAATTTAATGGTGTATTATTTGAGTCTGCTAGAGTTACTGCTTTATGCAACTGTAATGTTTCTTGTTTCTAGTAGAAAAACTCTTGCAATGTCTGTATTTGTTTGTAGTGGAGGTTAAGTATGTCGATCAGGCCACGTCTGCCATCTTTACGTGGAAGGGTTAATCTTTCTATGGAGGATTTAGGATGATGATGTTTATGCTTAGTAAGTGTTGTTCTTGTTTTCATTTGGAGTTGCTCAAGATCTGTGTGAGTCCAATGTATAACTCCAAATGAATAAGTGAGTACTGGGACGACATATGAGTTTATTGCTTTAACATCATCTTATTTCATCAGTAAATAAAATAGAAGCATAATAATCATAACAACTGTGATAAAAATATATAAATAAAACTTGAGATTAATAGAATATGTAAAAGTTCACGTCACACCTTTCACCTTGTGACGGCACACCAGTGTGCCGCGGTACAGCGGTTGCGGAACACTGGTCTATATAACGGACAAAATGTTAGTTCGTCTTAATCGGGGCCTCCTGTCCGTAAGGTTTCCATATCTGGTCTCGGATTTCATCTAACTCCGTTCGCGACATTAAGAAAAGACAGATGGACGGACGACAGTGGGAATATATAGGTCTATAATCTTTTCAAATTGCAGCCTAATAATAAAAACACAAGAACACTGCTTATATTCTGCAAAAGAAAAAAACACTGTCCGAAAAAAAATCAACAACGTACTGAGAATGGTACAGATCAGATTGATATGAGTATACTATAAATAAACAATCATATGGATGTGAGTAAAGCCCTTCGAGACCTGACTAGTACTTAGTTTATAAAAATATTCAAATATGTTTTGTCTCTTTAATCCGACATTAAGTTCGGTAGACTGTCATTACAGCTTTCAGGTTAGACACTTCTTTTATTGTTTCCACATATGCATTTCGGACTTATATAAATGTTAAGTCCCTCTTCAGTGCAATACTACAAATTATTAAAAAAAATTAAAAAACATAATTAGTACATGACAAAATTCTTCGCGTGCAGATAATAAAAATTGCCACACTTATACCTTCCCTTAAAAAGCAAATTGAAAACAGATGGATCGAGAGAACAGGTTAGTCATTCTTACGAAGAAAATAGAAATATTGGAACATGATATAAACTATTTTAAGTGCTTTTTAAGGGAAGAATCGTATAAGTGTGGCAATTTTTATTATCTGCACGCGAAGAATTTTGTCATGTACTAATTATGTTTTTTAATTTTTTTTAATAATTTGTAGTATTGCACTGAAGAGGGACTTAACATTTATATAAGTCCGAAATGCATATGTGGAAACAATAAAAGAAGTTTGTTGTGTACTGGCACAATGAAGTGACGTTTTTCTCAACACTGGGCTAGTTGAATCTTTTATTTAGTTAGAACGTTTTTCCATACATCAACGTTTCGGGCATCAGCCCCTCTTCAGCTAACTAAATATATATAAAAATATTTAACAGGACACAAATAAAAACCAAAAACTCACATAAATTCTTTGTAAACCATACCTCACTTCAGCATGAACATTGCACATACAGTAGAAATCAGACTACACTTAGGTTTTTTAACATTTTCAATATCAATTTTTTATCACAATTTTTACTTTACAGGTTAAAAACAAAACCTTTTCTACATTTTATTACATAAACAAGATAAACTCTGCAGATTTTAAAAAACTAAAACTTACAAATTTCAAAAGTCTTTTTTTGCCACCTCGTCGACTGATCCGACAATTTGCATATAGCACTATGTGCCGTNGCCCCCTTTGTTCCATAAAGTTATACCCAACGCCCCCTAACCCATTTTCTCTTGTGTGAGAAAAGGATTGGAAATATTCTTAGGAGAACTTTTCTATGAATCTCACACTTTGTGCCCTTACTGTACATTGTTCTCATCATCTGGAAACCATTAAACGCAATGTTTCCTCTTATCAGCCCCAATTTTATCTTTGGTCACCGTTCAATACCCTGCCTCCAGCACCCCCTAGATCTATTCATCGCCCAGAAGGGGGTGTTATTGCCCACTTTGAGAAATGCTGAGCTAAAATAAAAGTCAATGTGTTAGAAATATTCAAGTTGTGACCTTCAATAAAAAATAAAAAATATATAAAATGTCAACATTTTATATATATTCCGTCGAATTTTTATATATAGAATTTGTCTGCCGTCGCCCCTCTATATTTCCTTAACGCCCCCCAATTCTCTTTGAGCCTTCTACTGCC